CAAAAATTGGTACTATTTCAACTCATTCAAATGAGAGAAAGAACATTTATAAATGGGAACATATTTAATAAAACCTATGAGATTTGATATAAAGCAAGAAAAATCTCGACACAACAGAATCAAATTCGTAAAAGTGCATCTCATCAACAAATTCATATGAAATATTTAACTTTCAAGTTGTAAGACTGTATAACCATTCCATTATTCTAATAATGTGAAAATGATAAATTAATCTAAATACCTGAGACAAATATTGATGAACTCGTTAAGTAAAAAAAACGTACTATTGTAGAAGAGGTTTGTATTGAACCATTCTCAGTGTGAATCGGATATCATTTGTTTGCCATGAACGAATTTGTATACAACTGATTCTTCTTTTCCGCGCTATGCTCCTTCGGGCCATGGATGATTATGGCTCTCCGCTTTGTTACTCGAAGCCACTTTTGAATCCTTACGATCCTTCTCAGTTCATCTTCTGTCACCCATTCACATAAACTCGCTGTCACCTCCTACATCTCTTCAATTAATCCTGGAAATGTTAAATTCTCTAAGACCTTTTTCCTCATTATGTGTATCAGAAATTCACACCTGCTTTTTTTATTGTAATTGTGTATGTTTTTAGTCCCTATTTTCCTTAAAACCTCGTTACTAGTAAGCTTAATTTTATGATATTCTCAGCATCCGTCAGTAGAACCAAATTGCTGTCGTTTTAAGTACTTTCTTCATCTGATACAGATAAAAAAAGACATTATGAAAACTTTAATCGTATTACCTCTACTATATGTCAGTCTGAATGAGTTTCAATTGATTCATCAAATCAACTACACGACGTCACTCAGATAACGACCCATATTACCTTTTTTAGCCGAACAGAAGTGGCAAGATTTGGCATCACATGAACAGTAAAAGGAGTCTTCATTTAGTTAGCCAACAAATACATAATCATTTTTAGAACAGTTTAAGAAATTTAATTTCATTGCTTTGACCAAATATTCAAAATGACATTCAATAAATATATTTTCTTGATGGGGAGGGGGAGATTTCAAAGTATTTACTTAGAAATAACTTATGACGTAAGCAAATTTGAGGTTATTGGATATGAATTGATTTGAGAGAGTATGAAGCGAGATATACAGAAAGAACTTGAGACAAATTGTCTGCGGAAATATATTAATGATAAAATCAGCGAAATGAATGAAAAGTATAAGAGTGACGCCCAATGAATGCCGGATTGATTATTCTAACAAGATAAAAAAATGACAAAAATTTTATTAAAATTAGATTTTCCTGAAAGACGCGAGAAGCTTTGTTAATCATTTACCATGGAAGTAACTGAAAAGTTCTTATATCAAATTATGCAGGATTTTTATCAGTTTTGGGATCAGATTAAAGCCTTGGCAAATCAACTAAAATTAGTTTGATTATCTGCGCCAAATTTGTCAGCAATAACAAGCGTGTACACGTCATCTGGCTTAACCGATCCATTTTCTGTAAACGGAAGATATTTTTTTACTCTCGTCGATAAAATGTCGCAGTGACTTTATTGAATATGTACGACGTTAAAGATAAACAAATCTCACCATTTACTAGGAATGATTATAGTGATTGGCAAACTGGTGGAAAAAATGACCGCATGTTTGCGGTCATTTTTACACCAGTTGAAAACCTTGTTTTCAAATTAAAACAGTATTGACAGATCGAATTAAAATGAGGAATTCATTCTACTTTCAGGGGAGAAATTAAGAGAAAACTTTACGGTTTTAAATGAGGATTTATTTGTTTTAAATTCAATTTTATAATGTGATTGTAAAATGGTGATTGTAAAATTCGATAAAAATTAAGCTATAGAAATAGAAAGTTATAAAAAAAAAAGCTAGCATATTATTATCTGAATTTGTCATCCCTTCAAGACAAGTCCTTTACCGGTTTTAAGTCCTTGAAGAGGTTGATTCGGCCATTCATGCAACTCTGCATCCAATCACCCTTTCAAACTGTCTTTTACAGACATAATCTCTCTCAACTAAACATGCATATGCGCATGTGCATACACGTCATCCCACGCGGGTACATTAACATTTATATCACTTGCATTGTACAACCCTTCTCTTTTACACACAGTCAGTTAAATTAAATGCATATACATTGGTAAACAAGTAGCGCACACACACACACACACACACACACACACACACACACACACACACACACACACACACACACACACACACACCATCGTAAGAACCATACAAATATGATACACATTTATAAAATCACTGATTTTGTCAATTCACGGAAGAACACTGAATCAACAATTCACAAATGTATATGTTCTTGGAAGAATCACTAATTAAAAATGCATTTTTATCCATAAGACGCGGCGTGTATTGGGGGGGGTTAATGAAGAGCGGGAGGAGTTAAGTAAAATAAGGGGGTACACAAAAGTGTATGTAACAACAACAAAAAAAAACGTGCTAGGGACCTTCTTTAATTATAATTAATTTCAGAGATTTAGTTTCGAGTTTGCAATTGTTAGACTTCATTCATTCATTCTTTCTTTTTTTTCTTTCTTTCTTTCACATTTTCTCTCTTTCTCTCTCTCTTTTCTAAAACAAAAGTCACGTATTTTTCTTTCTCTTTCTGCGTTAGAAGGGTGACTTCCAATTTTGTTACTGATAACGGAAACTCTTTCGTTAGCTAGCAGAACTATATTTCTTGCTGACTTTCTTCTCCAAACACGTTATAAAACAGAATTTTAAGATAATTGTATTTCTATGAAAGAATCTATAAGAATTCTTTCTGCTGAATGCTGACATGATGTATCAGAATAAAGGGTATTGCAAGAGTGCATTGAAAATTCTGCCTTTATTCGTGTTTATTTAATCTTAGGGACGTACCCGAGAAAAAAAATCTTAAAATTTCATTTCAAAAATTAAAAGGTTTCTGCAGAATTTTATTCCCAACATATTTAATGAGTTTATCTTTAAGATTCACAAAATATTAATATTTTTCTACTTGAATATTTTTCTAGCTGAAAATTGAAAATTAAAACTAAAACTAATTGATTAAATAAATAAATAATAAATTAAAAAATAAATTTTTGTTAATTCGCTTGTAAGTTGTAAACCATGCTAATTGTATATCAGCGTGACATAACTTTTTAATATTAGATTCTCAAGCTTGCGTTTAAATGAAAAGTGCAGTTTTAGTAAGTAGATTTTTAAGTTTACTGTTCAGGACTTCAATTCGTTGCAAGAATCTGCTTGTCGTTATCCTAAATACAATATTCCTCTTTGTTTTTGTTCAGTCCTACCTCAACACAAACTCGTTAAGTAGGTTATCCGATGTCTTCCATGGCATTACTTGTTTTCAATATATTCTGCGAGTGTTAGAACAACAACAAAACAACAACAAGGTAGTGTTTTCATTATTTTGGTTATATTTGTTTAATATTTAGACGTTGTTCTAAAATTGCAGATTGAAATATGGCAAGCTATTGCACACTTTGTGACACTTAATATCATCGTTTCTTTCCAGGGAACTAACACTTTTTCATTACGAGACATTAAGAGACATCTCTAAAGAAATGGTAATCGGAGTTTGTAATATCCGCTGAATGTGGCAGATTAGTGAAAACACTGTCTAGTTATCTAAAAATATGTTCTGTTAGTCTTAACCTGATAGAATATTACGACATTTTTCTTACCTAATTCTAAACAATTTTCGTCGATCACTACTACCATCAATTGATTGAAATAGAACTTGTTCTAATCAGTTGCTTGGTTCTCTAGAAAGCTCGCTTATAATAGAGAAATCCTTTTCACTGCCACCGTATAAACCATATTCATTGACTTTGGACGGCTATCCACTTTTCATCACCTGTCAGAAGATTTATTTAAAAACGAAACTTTAAAAAAGTTTTTATCGCTTTTTGTGCAAGTGACGAATATAACCAAGCTGAGGTAAATCAATTTCAATGTTTGATATTTTCTATATGTTATCTAGCCTCAGTTATTTTTATCGCTCACACGTGGAAGCCTATCATGTGTAGTGGGTTAGCCAATCTGTATCAGTGACAAAATACAAATTAAAATGACTCTCTACTATTTTTACTAAATCAAATGCATTAAAGACAACAACGACAAGAGAAATAATCAAATATACAGGTATTTGTTTTAACAGAAATTTTTTTTATATTACACACGATACAATAAAGTTGTACACACGATATAATAAAGTTGTTTAAAACACTTCAGAGTTTTTGGCTGTGTGATCAAGTGTAAGATAAAACGTGCTATGCTATACATCTGGTAAGGAATTAAACAGTTTATGTTGATGGTGGAATTGAATGAAATAGATTGCTTGATTTACTGTATTGCTTCGATTGATATAGTTACGATTTCCTTTATGTTGTTAAGATATTGAGTGAGTTGGTTTATGAATCTCATCTTGGTTGAATTGGTCCGTAGATGAATTGATGTTGAAAAGAAATTGAATTCCACAAGCCTGGTTGATGTTAATAAAAATTAACTTTTAGCGAGGAAGTTGGGTTTCATGGAATTGTGTGACGAGTTGATTATTTTAAGGAATCACTGACGAAGTCGCGTTGAAGTTTCATATTTATGAATTTTCTTGATCACGTGGGAGGCTTGAGAGAATGTTTACCAATTTTTGGCACGTTGACCTCTGAACAGGTCAACTCGAGGTCAACCGTGTAGACGTAAGCAGAAACATGACATTATTATTAATAAACAAAAATAACCTAATTTTGACATTTTTAACGAATATACTTGATGTGATGACATATACTGCAAAAGAATCAAAAGTGAATGAAGTTAAAACAAATCGCTATCATTGTTATCTAAAGGTAAAAAAGGTGATCCAATAAAAGAAATTTATTTTCTATTTTTTTTTATAATTGATTACGAATATTTACGATACAATAAACGTATGTATGTCTTTTAAATTTCAGATCGTCGACATTTCAGAAACCAAAAGCTAATATGGTGATCACAATTCATTCTTATCTCCTGCTACTACAAACAGCAGCCGCGCTTGCTGCTACTTTAAGCGCTGTACACTCGGTCAAGGCCCCTCTTGGACAAGATCGGCTTCGTCGGAGTCTGCGAAAAAAGGATATGGATAATATACCATATGACCATGATGAGGTAAGAGATATAGATGCATGTGTTTATTTTGGGGTTTGCTGACATAAGGCGGGGTGGTGTAGTGTAATGGTTATCAATACGTATTCGACAAAGCGAGTTCGAAAAAGCCTGCTGAAGTAGTTTATATCAATGCGTTAAATCAACACAACATGGAGACAGGCTGTTTTACGCCTTGAGCCACCATAATTCCACTAAGGCATGAAACTGACAGTGTATATATATATATATATATATATATATATATGTAATGTTTTTGAAACATGAGAACTCTTATGTAGCGAAGGAATCATATTTTTAAATGTTGTCCTGACTTAAGCTTTCGACTCACAAGAGCCGAATTTCTTTTTTTTTTTGGCAAGACATCATCAAAACTTTGTAGTCAGGTGTTATTATAAGCTGCACGGTCTTGTTATTTAAATTCTGTGGATTTGAGAAGCTGATGTTCTTTTTAAGCATGTATTCATAAAATCAATATATATATATATATATATATATATATATATATATATATATATATATATATATATATATATATATATATATATATATATATATATATATATATATATATATATATATATATATATATATATATATATATATATATATATATATATATACATACATATACATATATATATATATATATACATACATATATATACATACATATATATATACATATATACATACATACATATATATATATACATACATATATATATATATATATATATATACATATATATATATATATATATATATATATATATATATATATATATATATATATATATATATATATATATATATATATATATATATATATATATATATATATATATATATATATATATATATATATATATATATATATATATATATATATATATATATATATATTGTGGATGTGCAGTACTGTAATAGCGGTTCGGGTTAAGAAGTTGGAAAGCAGAGTTCGAGTCCCTGTTTGTTACATTCACTTACGTGATAATACTCTTGAGAAAAGTATGAATTCCTCCCAGCTATAAGCAAATAGCAGAACTGGGCAATCAGTCTAATTTAAAAAAAAATCGTTTGGAGACCATGTAACAAACTACGTGCACCAGTTCTCTGTATTCTGTTCTTCCGTAAAATGTGACTGCTTCTACGCAATATAATCAAATCTTATTGTGGATAATCTGGCTGTTCGCTTTTTAGAACTGATCTGCTGTGTCCTTATACGTCGAAAGCAAGAGCTGTGTCTAGTCTGTCTGTCTGTCTGTCTGTCTCTCTCTCTCTCTATATATATATATATAATAAAGAATTAATGGATTTTTATTTATTAATCCGAAATATATTTATATATTCATAATATATTTATATATATATATATATATACTGAATAATGTATGCTTTTAAGTCTTAATTCCTCTTGATACTAACCAATATCGGGGAAAACCTAAGGTGTGCCGTTCTTGGCGCTTATTAAATTGATATTTAATTTTTTTTTTTATTGAAACAACTCAATAACAGGCTTAGAGGTCAACTGATTGTATTTTCGTCGTCGATGTCGGTAAGTGGCTGTCGTTGTTTCAAATTCTCTATAAAACAGAGAGAGTGAGGGTAGGCGGTTCTTATTGGAAATCATTTCTAATCAAACAGCCTTAAAATGCACACATGAAATATCATCATTATCAACACCATCATGCAATGCTTGTTTACTGCACGACCAATGATAATTGTAATATGAACTGTTTCCCTAGGCCTTTCCAAAATCTTTTCATCGTTCGATAAAGATCGAGACTCGTATTCCCTGCTATATTATACCAACAAACCTCTCAATATCATCCCTCTAACTCCTGTCTTGTTATACATATTTTATATTTGCTATTCATTGGGCATCAGTCAAGTAACCTTTTTGCTCCATCTATTATTCTTTCCTCGTGCTATTTTGGACAAATAGTAAGAAGAAAAAAATAATAGATAGTTTCAACTTCTGCCGTTTTATCACTTCTATCACGTCAGTTATCTTCGTCACTTGCCTGATACATGTTGACCCGTCTATATTTCTGAGATGAGGTATTATGTACATTATCTACATTATTTGGACTATTGTCCTCATCTTTGTTGCCATATTTATTAAAACGTTTCGGCCGTTGTACGCTCTGGCCTTCTTCAGGTGGTTGGAATGTCAAACTGAACCCTTTATTTCGCTCACTGTGGTAGACTGTTCCACGTGCCATGTTTAATGAATGTCAGTTATCCGTTATCTCCTGTTAATTTCCCCCTGAAAGTTCTCCATTGCCTTAACCGGGTACTGAACTCACACTTTTTGGATCCTGTCACTGGATGATATATGATTCCTTAAGTATACGAATTTTCCAATGGTGTTCCTTGTCTATGATCTCAACCTGATCCTAAAGGGGGCAGTGATCTCCCTTCTCTCTCCATATGTGGTCAGCCACGCCTGATTTTTCCACTTCATAGACAAGGAAAATTCGTAAACTTAAAGAATCAGCACATATGCTATGCCACAAAAATCTCCTGAGCTGACCAAGCATAGAAATGAATACAATATGGGAACCAGTAATAAGGAGAACCAGAGAAAAGCGATAATAACAACAAAAGTTGCAATATGAGCTCTGGTAAAAACATGCAATGATAGCAGCAAAAATTGCAATATGAGCACTGGTAAAAATTGTAAGATTGCTGAGACATTAGATTTATAATACCCAGAAATAAATACACAGATGTCCTCAAGGACATATGGCACAGTGGATAAAGTCGCTGGTTAGATCCAGTGACAAGACCCAAAGGTTAAGGCAGTGGAGAACTTTCAGAGGGAAATTAACTGGAGATAACTGACATCCATTAAACATGGCGCGTCTACTCCGGAGAGCGAAATAAAGGGTTCAGTTCGACATTCCAACCACCTGAAGAACGACCGAAACGTTGTAATATGGCGACACAGCTGAGGACAATAGTCCAAATAATGTACATGTTGACCCCTTTTATATCTTTTAGGGATATCATACAATGACTATTTCATTCATTTCTGAGTTTGCTTTCAAGCAATTTTGTTACTTTCCATTTGTCACAACCGCATGTTACTATCTAGCATAACGCATTAGTTATGCAGTTTATATTTTAAACATATCGGCAATGTACTTTTCATTATATCTGTGTTTTTGCTAAATGCTTTCCATACTGTCATTATACATCATTGTGTTCATGGGTACTCTTTTATATTATCACCTGTCACATACACACACACACACACATATATATATATATATATATATATATATATATATATATATATATATATATATATATATATATATATATACTTGGGCTTCCTCCCGTTACTCATCTTCTATTTTATTTCGATTTTTGACGGAAAAAATCAGGAAAATCTATTGGTTACAGTGTCAGCATCATTCGTCCTGTAACATAAATTTTGAAAAAAAAGCTCGTTAGATTTATTTATTTTACAGTTATTGACTTTAATTATGACAGCTTCTGATGTCAAATTTTCAAACGATAACATTCTCTAACAAAAACACCAATTTGACATCAGTTTGAGTACATCATCTCATCTCTTCCTGATGCCTATGTTTTGTCCCTGACGTAGGCCTGAAAATAGTCAAAAGCGTTAGAACTGACCGATGATAGTAAACATCAAAAATTTATGCATTTTCTTAAACATGCTATTCATTTATAAAAAAATTCGTACATAAAAAATAAACAAAATTTCCTCCGCCGTCGTATTTAATAATAATAACAACAACAACAACATCAATATATATATATATATATATATATATATGTGTGTGTGTGTGTGTGTGTGTGTATGTGTAAGCAAATATATGGATATAGATCCGATAGTATGAAGAAAAATATACGGAAAAAACAAACAAAAATCATAATATGCAATTATGCTGTTTTAATGTTAATATAATGTCTATTAGACCGAAACGTCCGACGTTGACATTATATTAACATTAAAACAGCATAATTGCATATTAGGATTTTTGTTTGTTTTTTTCCGTATATTTTTCTTCATATATATATATATATATATATATATATATAAAGCAGAAAATGTCTCTGTGTGTGTCTGTGCATCTGTCTGTGTGTGTGTCTGTGTGTCTATGTGTGTGTGTGCTATTTATGCACGTTCATATTTAGAAGGATTTCGATGAAATTGTACACACATGTTTCAAATTTACCAAGGTAGGCCAACTTTTCAATCTCCATCCTCCACCCCCGCTTTAGCAGAAAAAACCCCGATAAAACTGAAGGTGGGTACGACTTTATGGAAAAACCAAGGCAAAGTTACACGCGAACAAATTTTTTACTGGATGAGCCGATGTTCTTTGCACTTAATGCAAAACATAGCTCATGGTACGAGGCTCATGTAGAGTTTTTGATGGTTTCCCATCGACATTGGCTTCACATAAAAAAAATTGCAAAATAACTGTAAACGTGAGCAGAAAGAGGGGGCGTTTCATTTGTTTGTACTTGAATCAAGCTATGACGCTTCATTCCTGGTTTGGTTTGATTATTAGATTTGTGAACAATACCATACTATTTGAAGTTATTACGGGCATAGGAAATTTACTGAATATCTAAAACATTGAAACTGTTTAACCCCAAACAACGGCCAAACAAGGTTTTATCGAATCGATAGAATTCCTTTATTAAGAACAATCAAACACTTGCAAACGACATACCGTAAAAAGGGTGAGGGTGGGGATTATACTAACGGATGATGCATGCAAGCGGGAACGCAGGCAGACATTTCAAGATAGGGGGTGCGGATATACAGGGGGTGCGGTTAGGCAATTGCAGCCATGTACATCCGGACAAGCCCGAAACCTCGGCTAGTATATATATATATATATATATATATATATATATATATATATATATATATATATATATATATATTCAGTTAAAAACAAACAAAAAAAACCCTGATAACAGCTAATAGATTAGTCGAAAGCGCTTGGATCCACAGATCATTTGAAGAGTTTTTACACTCTTTTCCAGGAAAGAAAATACTTGTACGAATGCAAGAAAATATTAATCAAAAACTTAACCGTTGTGCCTTGTCAGTTGTCTTCAGTGTGTGTGTGTGTGTGTTACATATTGAAACCACAAATACCCGGATCTATTACATTATCAGATACGCCTACATCGATCATCTGCAATATATTACAATATCTTGTTGATTAAAAATAGATATTTATGCACATAAGTACCTAGCGTTTAAGTATCTGTACTTTATATTGCAACTAAGACTAGGAGATTTTAGTTACAGTTTCTGAGAGAAAGCATGTATGATCTTAATAAAAAAAATAAAAAAAAGAGAAATAAAAGCTATAAAAATGAATTTAAATTTTAAAACGAAGCGTCTCTGTATCGTTAACATTTTGATGTAACCAACGTTTGATGTATTTCTAACCCCACCTTATTTACGTAGAAGACAAATTCCATCAATAAAACCGGAAGGAAACGCGCCAGTAATAATTTTTTTCCCTTTGGCCATTATTTACATATTCTTTCCGTAACATTGTTGAGAAATGTTGTTTTCATAACATGAGACATGCTCAGCGCTACCCGAAGTAAGCAAGCACCATGTAAAGTAATTTAAATATGTATAAAATGTATTAATGTTTCCTATTAACTTACAGCCATATCACATTGAAACACCGGTGTCATCCGATCACCGGAGTTAAGCAACTTTGAGCCTGGTTAGAAGCTAGAGAGGTGACATCTTGGGAATACCAGGTACTATATGCCCCTACCAACACCCATTGGGCCAGAGCAAGGGAAGATCTGGGGAAGGCTTACGCCCAACAAAAAATTTACAGGCTGATTAAGAAGACTTGCTATTCTTATATTCTTTTCACGTTTTTTTTTTATTGCTTTCAATGAAGAATAGATATTTTTCTTCATAGTCTTTCATATTACCTACTTATATACACGTGAATAATAGCGATTTTCAGTAGCTAACTGACGATTTAAACTTACCCACATTTACAAGTTCTGGCTGGTCCAAATTACTAATTGAAAACCGCAATAGATTGTTACGATAAATAATCGAATATATTGAGTTGAAATTGATTAGTTGTTCAGCCATGCAAGTGATCATTAAAAGGTTTGTTGCTTGGAAACGTGCCTGATTGAAATACAGCACAACTTGAATATTCAGTACTGCCAATTTACTTCCGAGGAATTGATATTCTATAATCGACGAAACTTACATTATTTTTCATAATTTGGTTGCTGATTTATTTGTCCACCTGCAGATTGTTCGTTGTTAGAAATGGACTTATTGTTAAATTTAACTGTGATATTTTCAAGTACGCTATAGATGATAATAAATTCATGCCAATGGGACAGTGTCCACTTTTCTGAATCTATAGAAATCGATGTTTATGTTCGTGCATTTTCGAGAAATTTCTTTTATTTGTACGATTATGTTGCGCTAAGTTGTTTTAGAAAGTCTATTCATGAAAAATATGTGCAGGTAGAGTAACAGATATCGGTACCGAAAATGGAAGCGATGAGTCGAGTTCTAATTTCAGGCAGGTTTGTTGGATTCACTTTCGCATAAATGCTCTTGAGATTTTTTTATAGTTTATACACATCATATATATATATATATATATATATATATATATATATATATATATATATATATATATATATATATATATATTATAGAGTGCTGGTGTTAATAAAATAGCGATCGATGTAATATAACAGAGCTATTAAGTGTATATTAATAAAAATACATATTATCCCGCACCGGTAGCACGACTCGGAATTTCATGCAGGACGCGCTCTTCAGGTGCTGTGTAGAGACTGACCGTTACATAATTTAGATTTTAATAATAATAATAATAATAATATATATATATATATATATATATATATATATATATATATATATATATATATATATATATCCAGGTAAAATGAGAACAAATGGAGTATAATTCCACTGTATGTAACATTTAATTTAAAAGAGGGTCAATACAGAATAGAGCTATCCTAATATATATATATATATATATATATATATATATAGACAAAATTAGAAATAAAAATATATATTCTTGTGAAAATTCTTCAAAAATTCTTCTAAATTAAGGCTGTAGTGTCTCACCCCAGATCATTGAAACGACACCAGTTGAGATCATAAAGTCCATCACCTTACGGCGCAGTTAATTGAGGACTCAATAATCATTTCAATGGCTGTATAGTATACACCTCGTGAGGGCTACATAACTAGTTTTGCATTCAGAGTTGTGCTTCTCTTAGACTGATTGCTAATCACGGATAGAGATCCCAGTCTCCCCTTTTGTTTAACCAAAAGAATAGAGAGATTCATACCTTCCCAAGGATATTTGTGCGAAAGTCAATATAACGAACTCGGCTGAAAATCGAACTTGGCTCACCGATTTCTCTTTCGGGGCCGCTAACCACACATCCAAAAAGAAATAAATAAATATAAAATTAAGCTATAAAAGGAAGATGATAGTGATAAAAGTACATTTTTAAGCTGTGACTAAACTAAATAATAGTGAACGTCCCATATTTCTTATCTCATATAAAATTCTGATGAATAGAGATAACACAAGTATGCAGACAAAACAAATAATATAGTTGATTTTATTTTAGTATCTAGCCAAAGTGGATACCAATTCATATTTCCTTTTCTTACTCGGTGACAGATAAATATGATATTTTGATTCTTTCTTCGAAATTACTTGTGGATTGAACGCGAGTAAACGGTAGGATAACCATCAAAGCCTTTTTGATTATTATTATTTCTGAAGTAACAAAAAACAAATCCTTTTCAATTTCATACTTTAACTATTGAACTCACCACAAGAAATCTCTCTTTGAAATTAAACATAAACGAAAAAAAAAAATCTATTACGAAAATATGAAACATATTACTCATAATGTAATATAAATTCATGTGAGCTTCTAACTTAACAATCGGCCGACAAAACGTTATGTATCACCCCTGAACGATTGTATTAGGTGCGTTAAAATTAAGTGTGAATGCTATTTGTAATTTTGTTAATTGTGATTTTGCTGTTGTTCATATTGGATTAATTTTGTTTGTATGATATGTTTACATCTACTGATATTTCTCTAATTTATTCCTTCTCTTTCAGATCTTTTATTAATTATATATAATCTTTTTTTTCCATTTTCAGCCCTGTTACTCCATAGAAGACATTGAAGGTAAGTGCCCATTTATTTACTGATGGTAAATTTTTATTTTTAAGTTCAATTAGTATTTCTGATATAACAAATTCCTTGCATATAGTTCAAGTACATAAAATGGTTAACTAGCTGATGCTCTTCGGCCTACTTATGCTAATAAAACTTTAACGAACGAAAAGAATGGCACAGCTTAACATATTAATGACAAGTCTTTTCCCATGAGGAGTAACTTTCTAACGAGCAATTCAGTATTCTTAACTCTTGATTTATTCTCTTATGAAAGCAGTTATGAAATATCAAATTTACGCAAATATCCAGGTATAGGGGATTGGTAAGTTGTTCCCATCTCGGGCTTCAGCAAATTGAGTGGAAGAAATGTAATTTTCATTGATTTTTCATTTATTCTGCAAGTATCTTTTCAAACCTTTCTAGTCTGGTGCTAATAGAAAACTTTTGTTTCATTTTACAAACAACCAGTTATTTAGAAAAATACTAAGGGACAATTCTAACGCGTGTCTGTATATATATATATATATATATATATATATATATATATATATATATATATATATATATATATATTTATATATATCATAATAATTCATCGAGTCTAGAACAAGAATCCTCAACAGAATGCAGAAAACACTGGACAGCTGTTTCATCATTTTTGGACTCATCAGCAGTGCGCAGACACAAAACTAGAATCGGAGCGTTACGATACAACCCAAGCATCATAACACTAAACTCAATATAGCACAGGTAATATATATATATATATATATATATATATATATATATATATATATATATATATATATATATAATTTAGACAAGTTTTGTCCATTTATTTTTAATAGTATTCTCATAATTACGGATAAGTTTCTTAGTATTTATTAAAGGAAGAAAGAAAATTACCATGTTGATGCATTTATTTTTAAGTACTATTGTATGAGACATGGCTCATAATTACGGATAAGTTTCTTAGTATCCTTTGACAGGATTCGAACCTGCATCCTATACGGAATCGTCAATACGCTGAAATTACCATGTTGATGCAGACAATCCATTTTATAATTATATTTACTACATTGTTCTTAGCCTAGCGGTAAGAGACCGTATAGGATGCTTAAATCCTGTCAAAGAACGAATATTTTCTATGAAAATTTCTCGGACATTCATAAATATATTTATATATATATATATATATATATATAATATATTAACAACGTTAAACATAATAAACCTTTACCTAAATTTTCTTAATATATATATATATATATATATATTGTCAATTACCTAAATTTATTATCCTAGAAGCATTTTAAAATAAAGAGCCCAGTATTTTCCGAAAACGTAAAAATGGGAAAGCAAAGAGATAAGGTTGAATTGAATGTCGACAGGTATTAAGCAGAATGTACACTTTCTTTCTTTTTTGGTCACGTGTTGACATCATGATTTAACCGGATAGATTCCAAATCGAACCCCTTTAAACTCTGACCCCCGCAGATGAGAGAAAGGATCAGCGACCTCATTTCGCTTATAATGGAAAAATGTTCATATTTGAAAATAAGGACCACGTGATGAGAAAAAGATAATCGAACAGCGAAACGAAAAGTCAGTCCTGTCCAAGCCTTCAGGCTGGACGGACGGGTTTGCTATACATGCGACAGTCCTGTGATGGTTATGTGAAAAATGTCCTTGTCCAAGTCTTTAAGACTGCAAGGGCGAGTCAGCTATAGATTTGGTTGGGTGAGTCCATCTTCGAATCGACTGGACAGACGGCCATGAAGGCGATAAGCAGTTTAAAAGAAAAATAGTCATGCGAAAAAAAGTATCTCTTCGAACTAAACGGACGATCGACCACAAGTGCGATGAACGCGAAAGAAATGTTTGGATTCTGGGAAACAAATTCCGGCGTACGAAGAATGCTGTTACATCGAGACGAAAGAGAGAGATAGAGAGAGAGAGATAGAGAGAGAGAGATAGAGAGAGAAAGAGAAAGAGAGAGAGAAGGCAGCTTCAATTTGCGCGTCACCCAAGCCCCTAGATCAAATATAAAAAAAGCAAAAAAGAAAGGACCTCAAAAGGAGACGATTATAATACAAAAAGAAAAAGAGAGAAAGCAAAAAGAAAAAATAGATATGAGAGACATTGAAGAAAAAGTCGACCAGATAAATCCTTTGTTTCTCTTATGTGTTTTCTTTTTGTTTAATGTATTTTTTATGTATGTACTTTCATGCAAGTCTGGCATGAGATCACTTTTTGATAACTTGTTTTTCTCTGCTTGTTTTACTTTTTCACGTTTTGTAAATTCGTTCAAATGTGACACAAAATCACATGTTGATTTGTAATTTACCTTTCTGAGAGAATAAGTTCCCCTCCCACTATTTTTGTCCACAATGTTTATTTTTGACACATTGTTATTTTGTTTTGACCGTCTTTCATTTTATTCCCGTTTGTATATATAATGATAATACATTTATTCTTTGTCTCTATATGTGGCTTTACCCCGTTGTTT